TTCATCCCTTAGTCTTTGGACTGACTCCATAGTAAGTGGAGTTGTGTTCCCCTTGGGTTTACGGGCTGCTTTCTTTTTGAGTTTTTGGCCCTCTGAGTTTGAGACCCTTTTTCTTTTAATCACTTGCGCCAGTTTCGAGATAGGTGGTAAAGCTTCTTTATCATCGGACGGAAGTCTCATAGCCGCATCCTTTCCGAGGCCTGCAAAAGGAGAAAATAAGTAAACTCATGCTTGGGAAAAAATGGCTTAGGAGCCTCCCACCGACCCTTTGACAAATCGCGTCACGCGTGCTCGGTGTATGTTGACGTCGAAACCAGGCTCCTGACCTAGTTCTCGAGGTGAGGAACCGCACCCAGCATCTAAGCAACGGCTGCATCGAGAAAAACACTGATAAGAAAGGGTGAAGAAGTAAAACAACAAACAGAAATTTAAAACGGAATCATACTTACGCTTCATATTCCATTTCTTAGAAAATGGCATGCTCTCAACCGGGATCAGGTCTGAGGTCTTCACCCGAACGGACCGGCCCATCCAACCCCGATCTTTATCTTCATCTATACTCGAGGTGAACGCCTTGGTGGCCCGATGTTGAAGCTTTATCATCCCTCCTCGGTAGAGTCGAGGGCTATATAATCTTACGAGGTGTCGAGGGTAAAGGGAAACCCGTCGATTTTTCTCACAAAGAAACGGAGCAGTATCACGATCCTCCAGAAAGAAGGGTGAATTTGCCTGAGGGTCACCTGGTATTTCTTGTAAAAATCGACGATGACCGGATCGAGGGGACCCAACATGAAAGGATAAGTGTAAACACTCAGGTACCCTTCCATGTGGGTAGTGATCACTTTCTCCGGTGCCGGTATCATAATCTCTTTGTTTTCCCAATTGCAATCTTTCTTCACCATATCAAGAAGGTTTTTGGATATCGAGCATATATATCTCGATGCAGGCTCGCATCAACTAACAACTGATGAGGGTCTTTCGACCTTAAAGTCGGAATCAATAACACACACCCTCGAAACAAGTTCTTCAAGGCGTGGCTCCACCACTGTTTTCTCACCGGCCGGCCGAGATAAGGAAGCAGCCTTTTTCTGCGGAACGGTTTTAGATGTTTTGTCCATTTAGTTTTTATGAACAAAGAAGAATGGAGATGGAAGTATTTGGTATTTTAGGAAGAACATGCAAAGAAATTTGAAGACCTGGAAATAGGGAGCTTTGGAGAAGGCATAGAACTATGAAGATTGGAATGAAAAAAATTTGAAACTAAAAGTTTGGAATGATAAAGATAGAGGCTATTTATTGGTTTCACAACGACGGTTTAAAACTGGAAGTGATCGACCATCGACTGACGCGCATTTAATGCCTTGGTAACTGGACCGACGAGACGTTTGTCGCATACGTCACAATCGGGCTCGTCGCTGACATCATCATCCAACAAGTCAAAGTTTAGAAATTCATATCATTTCTCGCCATCTTCTTTCCGAGAAACAAGGGGACTATTTGTATACGGTTAAAACCGAGTCTGCCATTTGTATTGTCGAGCTCGAGCATCAGAGACCGATCAACATCTAGACCGAGTCAAGATCGAGGACGAGTCAAGATCAAGCTCGAGACCTAGAGACCGAGACCGGCCAAGATTGAGATCGGCCTAGATCGAGATCGAGCCAAGAAACAAAAAAGCCGTTATAGCCGTATTTGGAGAGAGAATCTCGGGATTCTCCCACTATATTAAGAGTATCATGGGATCCCCACTATGTATTTTTTATTGTATCCAAAGTAGGATTCCCCCACTATATTAAGAGTGGTTATCATCTGTATAAAGGGGAGATTTTTTACCTGATTCATTCTAAGATACATAGCAAAGAAAGCAAACACTATCCTTTTTTGGGCTTTTGATATTTAGTCATATTGTAACTTCTACCTGCCGTTCTTCACTCAATTTGAAGGTGACAAAATTTGAAGATTTAGGCCAACTAGTTCATTTGGTTTGCATTCATTTCTTTTATAACTAATTTCGATATTCATTTACATATCTTTCCCAATTTGTATCAATTTATACCACGTATCCTTAGAACTACGTATAAATTCAACTCTATCCGTTTTTCGGATAAACAATTTTAAAAGATTTTAGCCGTAGAAAACAAACTGCAGCTTCAGTTTACTCCCATAGGCAAAAGTTGCAACAGTGAACACCCTGATAGAATTAAAAAAATTCTCTCATTAGCAAATTATATAAATAATGATAAAATCAACTATAAACAGCTCAATAAATAATAAAATCATCTGCAGTTTATTCTTATTGGAACAACTAACTTATCATGAAGTGGAATTATGAAAGCTTACATTGTGGTATCACTTTAACAATGAAAAAGAATTGGCTTGAGGGGTAATATAGCCAATCTTAGATTTTATCTCGGAATAATTAATTTTGAAATTATTTATCCCACCTTTTATGTGGAATAAGTACTACTAACTTACCACAAATTTAACTAATACCTTCACCTAAATATAGAATAAATTTATTAAAGTTTATGCCGGAAATTATTCACTTAATCCCTCCCGCCAAACGACCTTTCTTTTTTGTTTTCCTACCGCAAATTTAACTAATATCTTCAATCAAATATAAAATAAATTTAATTCAAAATTTTACACCGAAATAATCCACTTAATCCCTCCAACCAAATGACCTTTCATTTTTGTTTTGTTTTCTTCTTCATAACTAAGAGGGAATAATAGGAAAATTATAATGATCTAAACTTGGACATTTTCAAATTTATAGTATGACATTCTTCTATGTTCTAACTAAAATTTTTCCTTTTATTATCCCTTCTCTACTACTGCTACTTCTATACATTTTTTCTTCTTTTTATAATGAAAAACCATTACTCCCTCCATTTTTATTTATATGAGGTAAAGCACATTTATATCAAGTTCCAATTGAGCCAAAATTCTTTTTATACTAAAGCTTATCTTAGCATGCACTAGTCAAACTAACTTTGGGGAAAAGAAATCAAAAGTCTACTCATAGTAGGAATGCCAAAAAAAAAAAATTGAAGAAGGGAAAAGCCAATCTTTGTGAGAGAGGTTTGTGATACATCAGTTTACAACTCAACTTAAGAAATTCAAAAGTTGATAATGTAATACTAAAATACTGGAGATTATAAAGCATTGATCATGACACAGCCAGATTTTGGAGAGGACAACTGTATCTGAACAGCTATATTCTCCCCCCCCCCCCC